CTGATTTCTTTTTTTTTTCTTTAATCTTTTTTCTTAATTCTTTTTTTTTCTCACGCATCGCCATGCGACGCGCCGCCAGCTTACTCACCCCTGCCTAGTCGCCCGCGTCCACAAGCGAGCTTGCAATTTGAATTGGGCCCATCATTTTAATTAATGCGAAACGATATATCGATCGGCAAAATAATTGACAAAAATCAGCATGATCTCATGATAAAGTGATATAAATAACAGGAGGCACGCACACAAATAAGTCACAAAGGTGGCACACATCGAAGTAACGATATATGAGAATGTATCGATCAGAACCAGATGCCAAGGAAATGATCTGTATCTGTCGCGTCTATATGGAATAAATATATAATACGTGTACGCTGTCTATGTTGCAACACATCGTGTGCACGGGTAAGGCCGCGTTTTCTTCCCTCCTCTTCGATCGCGAACGAATTTCTCTTGTTCGTTTTCGGGCGTGTATTCCATTATAGTGCATTCACACAGAACAACAGTGGTTAGACAATGATCGGTGAGAAACGCTCGGTATATAGTATACATATCGTGCGTGTGATTCGCAAACTATACTCGCGCTTTTGCCGTTGTGCATTCGCTGGCTACGCCTGTTTTCCTTTGTCCCGTTTTCGATATTCTCCGTTATCGTTTCGGGTGCTGTTTGCGCACTTATTTGTGTACCTGACTTCGAGAAAAGTGACATGACATCGAATGGAATATGAGCAATCAGTGGTAAGCCTGCGAGCGCCGCAGCCAAAAGAGTAATTTATGTAAAACCGTATAACAACGTATCATCGGTGTCCCGATATTACTGTTTATGATCAGGGGTGTGTAGTATGTACAAGAATAGGACTAGAGCGAGTGTGATTTATGTATAAATGATAAATGGCACGGCACAAAGCCTTGCATTGCATTCTCTGATACATAGAGTTTATGTAAAATGGTAAGCAGGGAAAACGTCTGTTTCTTTTATTTTACTTTATTTTATTCGACTATTTGTTTCTCTTTTTTTTTTTTTTTTGCTATCCCGGTTGCTTCTTTTCTTCCGTTACTTTCTTTTAGCTTTTTTTCTCTTTTTTTTTCACTTGCTATTAGCTTTACTGTTTTCTCTTCGTTCGATCGTTAACTCAATCGTGAACGAGGCACCGCCACTTAGGCCGGGAATTACCTGGATGCGTTTAGAGAATATCCCAAGTATTGTTGGACATTGAAAAGAACAATGTCTGTGGAAAAGGTTCGTTGGATATAGTAATTTTTGTCTACGAAAGAAAGAGAGAAAGAGAGAGAGAGAGAGAGCGAGAGAGAGTTTATGATCGATAAGTAAGTGCTATCGATTCGGGTACTTCAGGGCGAATAATAGAGAACGAGAAGTGTTCTCTTAATTGGTATGCAAGTCTTAAGAGCTTATACATACGTTGTTCTACTGAACTGCCGTGGCACTAAGCTAAAGTTACTTCGAAAGTTACTTTTATTTGAAAAGAGAAGGAGGAATAATATTTGAAAAAATTTGCAAATATTCGATCAACTACGGTCGGACTTATTATTAGACGGCAGGACTGCTAAGAGTAACTCAACTACGTTTTAATTCGCTGAAGAAACAAGGAACAGAATGTTACATGATAATTCTATGTAAGAGCCTATGAAAGAGATCACTACGGAATATTAATACAGGATCCTAAAAAAAGAGAAGCGCTAAGCTATGAAATCAGACGATTAAAAGACTGTTAAAAGAAGACGTTCGTCGCCCGCAGGATTCGCCAAGATTGAAAGTTCACGATCGAATTTCGACAATTGACTACCGTGTATCATTTTTCCGCGAAGTCGAACGAATTTTCGTCGTTTTCGTCGAACCGGGAAAGAATGCAATCCTCCACGTTACACGAACGCGTACGATTTCGCGTACAAGTCTCCGTCCAAGGGAAAAAAGTAGAAAAAAGAAGGAAAAAAAAAAGATATACAGAAACAAGTGGAAACAGATCGATAAGTCTGACATAAATAATCAATGGACTGGAAAATGATCGCCCGGTGTGAGTCAGATACATATGTAGTAAACTGGTACTCGGCTGGTACATCCAAACAATCCAGATAATTCTCAGAGACGTCGGTGGCGACGCCCATGCGACAACGTGTTCATTCCGGCAAAAGTGATTTTCACAAATCGTGTGAACACACAGTTTCGATTTTGATACGTAAGCTCTCCTTTTGCCGCGGTAGCGGTAACGTTTCGAAACTCTTCGAAGTCCGAAACTCTGACTCGCGATGCTCGTAATTGGTAATTAGCTTGAACAGTTGGTACAGTGGTACAGGTATAAAGAGAACCGCGCACAGTTATCGTTACGTTGCGTGTTAAACGCCACAGTAGAAAAGTCGAGAAGACGCGTGGAGGTGTTTCACAGAAAACGTTAAACGTTATATAAGTATAAGAGGGGGTGGGGGGTTGGAGGGGGCGGAGGGGTATATATGTATCGTGGGTACGTCGGGGGAAACGTACCTTACAAGCAACTCCCGTAGAGTGGCTTCATCGTCCTCCTGTACCTCTTCCTGCGTCTCATTACTGAACGAGCCGCGGCTTGGGTGATGATGCTGGTGATGCCTGCCGGTCGGCCTACCGGTGCTGCCGGGTGGATACTGTCCGTGCAGCCCGTGATGATGATGGTGATAATGACCGGTGTTGGTGGAGGCCGAGTGCAAATAGCGGGCGACGGTGCTGGTTGCACGCCCCCTGGTCAGCTTGAGGCCGGTAACAGGAGGCGGCAGTACGGCGCCTGTACCGGGCTCCACGTAACTTCTTCGTGAGGCATACTGCTCCTCCTCCACCCTGATGATGTCCTGACGCCTGCCCGATGGCCGATCGGCCGATCTGCTGCGCGATCTCGCGCTAGTTCCAACACTTTTGCTAGCTTTACGTCCGGCCGTGCCGGCGTTGCTGCTGGCGGCGTTTCTATCGCTTCCTTTGCCCTGCCTCCACCAGCTGCTACTACCGCCGACTTGTGCACCAAAATCGAGCCTTCCTCTCTCTTCCTCCTCCTCCTCTTCCTCTTCCTCCTCCTCTTCCTCTTCCTCTTCCTCCTCCTCCTCCTCCTCCTCCTCCTCCTCCTCCTCCTC